AAGAGCATGGTTGTAAATTCATATCGTTACTTTTTATTGATAAAAAATATTAGGTTGAATGAAAAAAGTCCAAGTCTGTTTTGATCAGGACCAATGTTGCAGCCTGGTTAAAACGTCTCCTTTAATAGCAGTTGCCATACCCTCTAACACACCGCTCTCATTGGTTAGGTCAGTAGGCTGGTTTGCAGATGAAGTGTGTTGGCGAGCGTGACCCTGCATTTGCCGCAGTGCTTCCACTCCTTTGGCTCTCCTGGACACTCATGGGCCCTTCAGCACCGAGGACAGCGCCCAGTACAAAGCAGAGTGTGGAGGAGACGACATATTCAAAAAGGTTGCTTAAGAAAGGGCCTTGTGGAGGAGAGAGCAACCCAGTACTTCGAGAATAGGTTTGTTTACAATGGCAAGTTTAATTGTTTTGCACAATTCATGCACAAGGCAACTCAAAGTGCTGAACAAGACAAGGTAAAATCATAAATATTAATAGTACATTAAAAAGAAAGATAGAATATATAAAATCCTTCACTTGTAGCACAGCTAAACAGAACTGTTTTTAACCTGGTTTTAAACATTGTCAGAGAAGAGGCCTGTCTCACATTTTCAGGAAGACTGTTCCAGATGGGGGTGAAAAACTCTTCTCCAGTCGAGTTATGTACAAATCCATGTTTGTCTACTTTTTAGATACGAGCAATGACAAATGTGGATTAATGATTTTGAACACTATAAATCTTAAAGCTGAAGCACTTAACTTTCCATGTCACTAGTTTATCGTATCAGGTTGGTTCTATCACTAGCTTTCACATGCATGTACAGTACAGGAATGCTTGGACTGACCCAAATCTAATTAAACCAAAGGAACAGATAGAAAACAATTCATCATGTTACAGATAAACTTTATGTATTTATTGCTAATTGTGTCGTGGGTTCAATGGACAGACTATAATGAATATTTGAGTTGGTTTTTTTAATGTATTGCCTTTATTAACAAATATTTGCTTTGAAATTAGTTGGATGGTGTGTCTTTTTTTTCCTCCAGTTTTCAGGTTCTCGAATATGTGCAATGTTTTCATCAGAAAATTAATTGTTTACATACTTTCCACTAGTATATATATAAGGTCTTCACACCCATGTTGAAGTTTATTTGCTTCTTTCATGTCCAGAAGTGCTCCTCAGTATTAATGACTGTTACTACACTCACAGTGGTGAGCACCAGACTTGCTCCTGGCGGTTGGTAGATAGATGAGCTGCCGTTTTAAATTTAGATGCTGAAGAATGAAAGAATGAGTCTGGCACGCTGGTCGAAAGGTGCTGGTGGGCAGGGATGGACTCACAGGGCCATACAAAGACTTGGACCTAAAATACTTATTGGACCTGGACATGAAAACGGGATCAAAGCACAGGCCGTGGAAGGTACGCAATATCACAAACCAAAAACAATGTCAATGTATTATTACTTACTTAACTACTTACTTACTTAATTCCTTAATTTTGAAGGACACTATTATGCCGGTTGGACTTGTTATGTTTTCTGTCATTGTTTTAACTCTCTGATCTGAAACATAGCTCTACATCATCTCCAGTTTAGATTTGCATTTCTGTTGTTAAATTGTCCTAGGATCCAAACCAGGGCCGTTTTTAGGACCAGACGATCGGTAGCTCAGCCTGGACATAAAATATTCGCATCTCTTATCAGTCTCTTACAGTGGTCTGGGGTCTTTCCCCGGGAAAAAATGTGATTTTTTTAAACTAACCTCACATGGGATTGTAATTATTAAACAGACGCTGTTCTTGTTTACATATACAAGACAAGTAAAGTTCAAGTAAAGAGGTTCCAAAGAGGAAAAATAAGTTCCAGGATGTTCCACACAATCTAACTGCTTGTACCAAAACCGGACCTGGCTTAAACCAGAACTGGACTCAGTCCAACCCAGACCAGTCCCGGTCTAAACCAGAATTGGACCCGGTGGTGCAACTTTCATGGGGACAGAGTGAGAAGCGCGGGTCACAGATGAAGCTCCTGCATGGAGCACGGTTCCCACTCAGGAGCCTGCAAGCTCATTCTGCAAGGGCATGACTGCAGCAGAATGGACTCTTGGGGAATTATGACTTCAGAGCAACCTAGAATTAGTTATTTGTGAAGCTTTTTTGTCTGTGGCTCCTGTGAATCAGGTGTGTAGTCAAAAACTAAATTAATGTGGTCAGTCCCTGCTATGAGCCTGTGTACATGTGATTTCATCATGAACTCGATGGTGCTTCCACACTATCTTATTCTAACTGTTCATATTTTCAGTAGGCTGTATCTGCCACAATGGTTGGCAAATCTTCAAATCGGCAGATGTGGCCTGAACATGTGTCTCTAATCCTTTACAAACAGCACAAGGAGAAACAGTTCTGGATCTGCAGCTCTGTGAGCATACATGCAGTAATGTCTGTGTGACTTCAGAAATGTTGAATATAATCAAATGAGAGCGTGCATGGAGCTTCAAGTCCTCACGTGCTGGCTAAACTACACTGCGTGCAGAATTATCAGGCAAGTTTTATTTTTGAGGATTTATTCAATTATTGAACTACAAGAGTGCTTTTGATCAATGCAAAATGTTGATACATCCCAAACGTGGATATTCCAAAAAGTAAAAGTGAGTTGTTGCCAATCATAAAAATACAAAAAATATATATCTGTGTGTTCACAATTATTATGCAGCTCAATGAAAATCAAAGTTATCTCAACTCATCTATTCATTTTCATTTGTTTAAGTAAGGATAATAATAAAACAACTCCTAATGTACAAAAATACTGCTAAAGTTTTAACAACAGAACATCAGTGGCCAATATAGCCACCCTTATTTTCAATAACACTCAAAAGCCGGCCATCCATGGAGTCCTTCAGTTTCTTGATCTGTTGACAATCAACTTTTTGTGCCGTAACAACCAACGCCTCCCAGACACTGTTCAGAGAGGTGTACTGCTTTCCTTCCCTGTAAAGGTCTCGTTTAATAAGGGCCCACAAGTTCTCAATTGGGTTAAGGTCAGGTGAGCAAGGGGGCCATGTCATAATTTTTACTTCTTTTAGGCCTTTACTGGCTAGCCAAGCAGTGGAGTATTTAGATGCATGAGATGGAGCATTGTCCTGCATGAAAATCATGGTCTTTTTGAATGATGCAGGCTTTCTCCTGTACCACTGCTTGAAAAAAGTTCCTTCTAGAAACTGACAGTAAGTTTGGGAGTTGAGTTTTAGTCCATCTTCAACCCTAAATGGCCCAACCAGCTCATCTTTAATAATACCAGCCCACACCAGTACTCCACCTCCACCTTGCTGGCGCCTGAGCCGGAGTGGGGCTCTCTGCCCATGACTGATCCAACCACGGGCCCATCCATCAAGAGTCACTCTCATCTCATCAGTCCATAAAACATTTGAAAAATCCATCTTCAGATATTTCTTGGCCCAGTCTTGACGCTTTATCTCATGTGTCTTATTCAGTGGGGGTCTTTTTTCAGCCTTTCTTACCTTGGTCATGTCTCTGAGTACGGAACACCTTGTACTTCTGGACACCCCAGGTAGGTTACAGTTCTGGAATATGACTGCACTGGAGGATAATGGGTTCCTAGTAGCCTCACGCTTGATTCTCCTCATATCTATTGCTGTTACTTTGCATCTTTTTGTCTCAACACGTTTCTTGCGTCCTTGTTGGGAATTTGCAACAAAGCGTTTGATGGTCCTATGATCACGGCTCAAGATCTTGGAAATTTCAGGAGTGCTGCATCCCTCTGCAAGACATTTGACAATTTTGGACTTTTCAGAGTCTGTGAGATCTCTCTTCTGGCCCATTTTGCCTGAGAAAAAGAAGCTGCCTAATAATTGTGCACACCTGATGTAGAATTTTGATCTCCTTAGGCCAGGCCCTCGCTCATTATTAAAATGCACTTCACCTGGTATGCTTAAAATCGATTGGCATTCAAGATTATACAGATTAGAGCTTGACAATATGTATAGAATGGCCAATGTCATCGAAATACTGACTCGCCTAATAATTCTGCACACACTGTATATCAAAAGTAAATTACGTAAAATAGAATATAAATCCGTCTGTAGGCACACACAAGCTGTTATGGAGCAGGTGGATGATAAGCTGAGCAGGCGCTCACTGCGGCTTTAATTCATGAAATTAATCAAATTTTAGATCATTGTTCACTCGGGACAGGAGAAAAAAAACATTCCGGGCCGAAGCCACATCAAGAGCATTTGAAGCTTGTGTTGTTATTCATTATCCTTGTAGTAGCAGTGGAGATGTTTCATCCGGTTAGGCTGAGCTGTTGTAGATGTAGGCCAACGCGCTGCAGTAACCTTCACCAAAGTGGGTCAGTTTAAAATGGTCTCATCCAAAATAACTTGTTTTGGTGACTCAATTTGTTATTATTTAATTAAGAATATTTTACCTTGAGACAATATAAACAGAACCAAATCCAACCCCGCTGTCTGAAATGTAACAAGAAAAGAGAATCTTACACGTGAAATGTTTGCTATACATTCTGAGTGTGGCTGAAAGCTTTACCCACCAACTTTGCTTTGAGCAGTTTGCTTGAAAAACAGTGACTTTTTGGTATGTTTTTATCATACTTTTCAAGTAACTTTCAATGTGTCTAACCCTGAGCAAGGACAAAGATTGCACCATGCACATTCTGTTTCTTCGTCTCTTTCGGACTGTCCATTTCTCAAAAGAAGAAAAATAGAAACAACCAAAGACAAAGCCAAAATAAAGTATAGTCCACTTTTCAATCTTCATCTCTAAGTACCTTTAAATTACAAAACCTGCACTTTCATAGACACCATTTATTATCTTGGCGATCAATTTCCCATAAACCTTTCCCCACTACTATTCCTTTTATCTGCGTAAATCAACACAACACAGAGCTGCATTTTCTAGCAGTAATTGTAGCACACAATCCCCTCCATGGCCACTAGGGGGTCTTCAGCTGGGTAAAATCATCGTTTGTGTGTGCTTGGTTACGTGACGGTGGGGTCCGCACTCCAGTGGCCAGTTTCCCAGCGGCGGAGCGTGAGGCTGCCTTTAGATTGCTGCTTAACAAGGCAGCAGACGGCACAGATTGGCTCGAGCTGGACGTGGGACCCCCGCTGGGAGAGGGGGAAGGGGAGGGGGAAATATGCTTCTCCATCTCTATCAGGGATAAACAGAGGAGAATAGAGCGCTCCGGCGGTGGGAGGTTACGTAGGTTGAGTCGAAATACAAGATGTTCCACTTTGGAGAATCAGCAGTCGATCAAATGAAAAGTGTGTGTCAAAAAGTTTGTCCAAATTCCTAGATTTTGGAGTCAAACACGAAGCCCAGACGATCCAGGTCAAACAGGGCGGCCATCTCTTTCATAAAAAATCCAATTCAAGCATTTATGCCGTGTTCCTTTTCACTTATTTCCCACTTGTAAATAGGTTTACTCCTAAATTGAAATTGCATTTTTTTTGTAATTATTTTTGTGAGCAGAATGTTGTTATATTTGACTTGCAGCAACTGTTACATGATGTCATATTGTTTGATATGTGATTGAGATTGGACAATTAAAACAATCATAAATTGGAGGTGGGAAGTGCCTGGAACTCTACACAATTGATTATTTTGTGCTTTGCAGTAAAAATGTAATTACTTACAGTCACCTTTTGACAAAATTGTAATTCAAGCATTTTGCTCAACCAGTTTCAGTCCTTCTCATATTTCTCAATGTTTTATAGGAAACATGTAAACGCTAAATTAATCTATGCTTTGATAACTGACAAAGCTGACCTTACCACAGCTGAGCCCATTTAAACTTCATGTCATAATCATACCAATCATGGGATTTGGAACAGTCTTCTTGAGATTATGAGAGAGGTTTCTACTCGACAATGTTCATATCCACTATTTGAGAGTTCAACAAATGAAAATAAGATGTTGTGTGCAGTCTTTTCTATATTGTACTGTGGATATTTATTGTATTTAGTCTTTTTAGGTTTTAATTTTTTATGTATTTTGTAAGCACTCCAAGATTCAAGATCATGTTACAAGGGCAAAGATCTTTTATCCTAAAAGATTTGTATAAAAAGTTACAGGCCAGATCTGTGTAGAAGTGACCGCCTTACCATTGAATACATGCAACATAGAACATTCCAGGCAAAACTACGGCCTCTTTTGAGACACAAGTTATCGCCAAAGTCTCCACAAGAAAGAACATAGTGCATCTTTCATTTCTTGTCGATGTGAATTCTATAGTCTTATGAAACCAGTCACTGTGAGAAGCATTCTCAAAAAGTAGCACAGAGAAAAATTGACAGACTCCCCCTCCTCAAACTTTACAGCGTTCACAACAGCATCGCAATAAAAGTGAAACTCATAAACGGCAGTGTTTTTAATAGACCCTGGCTTCCTTCGCTGCCGTTATTGCTCACCAGAAGTGGACCGTCAGAGTCGGGATGGCCCGGTGCATCCCACAGCATTACAATATGAACTGCTTTGAGGAGAATCAATGAAACACTCACGTCCATGAACTCCACGTTGGCTTTGGGGCCAGTGGCTTCGCTCAGGATTTTGATGGCGACCGGGATCTTGACTGTCTCGCCCTCGGGAACCCAAATACCCTGTGGAATGGACAAAAAGTGTAAATTAAATTCTAAAAGTAGAGGACCAAATGGAAGGATAAGATAAATCCTGAATGATTAACAGAAACATGAAATGATACCACAACATCATGACATAAAACAATAACAACAACATGAGTAGAAAATATGAGTAGAAAAACAACAATGGCATGTCTTCACACTTTGAAAATACATAGTTCAACACAGTTTCATAGCACGCAGGTCTTTTCTGGTTTTGTTGAAATAGGCAAATGTAATAACTGTAACTAAATCACTATTGTTGAAATAGACAAACACAACTATATGAATAAATATTAAACTCAGCATGTTGTGTTGTCTACAGTGATGTGTGTGTGTGTGCATGTGCGTGCAGGTCTACCTTGATGTGTGTGTGTGTGTTTCTGTGTGTATTTGGATCCGCAGTGATGGATGTGTGTGTGTGTGTGTGTTTTTAGATCCCCAGTGATGTGTGTGTGTGTGCATGTCTACAGTGATGTGTGTGTGTTTGGATCCGCAGTGATGTGTGTGTGCAGGTCTACAGTAATGTGTGTGTGTGTGTTTCTGTGTGTATTTGGATCCGCAGTGATATGTGTGTGTGTGTGTTTTTAGATCCCCAGTGATGTGTGTGTGTGCAGGTCTACAGTGATGTGTGTGTGTGTTTGGATCCGCAGGTGTGTGCAGGTCTACAGTGATGTGTGTGTGTTGGATCCGCAGTGATGTGTGTGTGTGTGTGCAGGTCTACAGTGATGTGTGTGTGTGTGTGCAGGTCTACAGTGATGTGTGTGTGTGTGCAGGTCTACAGTGATGTGTGTGTGTGTGTGCAGGTCTACAGTGATGTGTGTGTGTGCAGGTCTACAGTGATGTGTGTGTGTGTGTGCAGGTCTACAGTGATGTGTGTGTGTGTGTGCAGGTCTACAATGATGTGTGTGTGTGTACGTGCGTGTGTGTGTGTTTGGATCCGCAGTGATGTGTGTGTATGTGCGTGTGTGTTTGGATCCGCAGTGATGTGTGTGTGTGTGTGTGTTTGGATCGTGTGTGTGCGTGTGTGTGTGTTTGGATCCGCAGTGATGTGTGTGTGCATCAGTCTTTATTCGTGACTGGCTGCTTCATTATAATCGTCACTCCAGCACATAGAGCCTATTCACACTTTGACAAAGACCAACCACATGATTTCCACCTATATCTGTGAGTTCCATTAACTTTTTTACCTTCTTCCTGTTTCTGTTTTCTTATTATTATATGTTTAAGCAGCCAACATTTTATTTTTCTTGCTCGCCAAATCTGTTCAAATCAAACATGTTCACAATTACAGTCATTAGAACTGAAAGTCTGTTTTATTTGTATATTTTCATGTCTGGTCTTCTCTTATGTCTGTTGGGAGTGGTGAAAATAATTGGTCCAAGCTTCAGAGCCGATTGTCCTTAAATGGCCCTGGACTGAAGTGTTGCTGCAGGCTGGTTACGGTGTAGTGTTGTTCGGTAATTGGACATGGGAGGAGCGGGTTTTTCGCTTCACTACTGTACACAAGACTTTGTACTCACCGTATTGTGCGTGAGTCTGGAGTTGAGAAACATTGTAGATTTACAGGAAAATTCAAGCAAATGCAACAGGTGTAGAATACTGAGGATTGGTCACATCCAAAACAAACCTAGAGTTGTGTTCTGGTTCCTTTCCATCACTACACAAAACTTATTTTGTTTTCTGCTGTGAAGCACAGTAGGATGTATTGTTAGGAGTGTTTTGGATGTTATGCATTTTCCATTTTGTTCACTGTTGTCTCTAAGTGTCATTTTCCTCAAATGTTCCTGTTTTGCTTTCAAACTAAGAGTAATTAAGGAAGGAGTGAAACTGTGTATGACAGACTTAACACAGTGCTGAGGCTGTTTGTCTGCATGTAATGTTTTTGTGCCTTTTGAAATAACCTTCAAAATAGTATTAAGAATGCAATGCTTTCCAACTCCAACCTTATAGACAGTCCCGAATGCACCAGAGCCCAGGATCTTGACTCTCTTCAGCTCGGTCTCCTTCAGGATCCTGAGTTGGGCCTGATTGGGGGCTGTTCCGCTGGGGGTCAGGGGCTCCACCAACTGAAAAACACACAGACATTAGATTAGATTAGATTCAACTTTAATGTCATTACAAAGTCAGAACAATACAACTAAATCAGAGGCTTTAATACTGACCATTGACTCGACAATGTAATATCTATATTGAAATCCAAGATGGTGTTGGTACACTGAAGACATGCAGTTGTAGAAATGTTTAGAAATTGCATTTCATCTAAAACAAAGCATATGTCTATGACATCATATGGTGAGGATTCGTCGTAGGGCAGGGGAATGTTTATCTGATATAAAATAAATCCAGGTTTGATGAGGAAAAATTAAAGAACTGATGATCTTTTGTCAGAAAACCCACTATTATCTTTTCAAATGTTCGTAAAACAAAAAAATCAACAATTTCTAAGGCACAATATGCTTTTATTCTGCAAATTAATGTTACGCAGCAAATAAACATGCCAACATCTGTCCAACCCTGATATGAAAAGATTTTATGAAGTAAAACGGCTGCCCAGTACAAACGGTGGGCGAGGGTTTGGTGCTAGTACGCTCTGCCGAGTCACACAGCTGTCCACATACAAAACCAGTCCAATATGAGATTATGACCAAACACCTCCGCCATACTGGAGGGCGGACAGAAATATCACAAACAGAAGAGATGAAAGTGGACTTGTAGACATGGCAAAATGAAAAATAAAATGTGTTTTTTTGTGTCAAAATCCTAGTAGAGGATGTGCAATTATATTGCTTTCATTATGTTTAAAGGTCCCATATTTGGTTCTTCATGTTTCACAGTCCGTATAAGCACAAGAGTGAGAATAATTTGGGTGATACACCATACAACAGTCAAAATATAGCCATTTGCATAAAGGTGATGTCAACGGCTGGATCTGGTCTCCTCTCCCTGGAAGCCCAATAGCGATCCATCACGCAGAACCCTATGTCCTCAAGATGATGATTTCATAGTAACCGTAAGTGACTATGAAACTAGACTAGACTGTTTGTTGATAGCGGGTAAACAGATTTGTAGTAGATTTCAGAGGCAGACTTGACATGATGCTAGGACTTGGCATGATTCCAAAACTTGATATGATAATAAGACTTGTAATACAACCAACAGAGCTTAAAGTGAAGGAACAGACGGTGGTTCCCGCAGGATTCGGACAAGAGGCTGTGCGCGCACGTTCAGGCCAGTGGGGGAGGGTCCCGGCTCAAAAGTGGCCAAAATGACGTGCGCTGACATGCTTGCAATACCACCCCGGGCCGGGGGTGGACCCGGAATAAGAATTAGCCAATGCTAACATATAGCATTGGCAGACCTCTCGAAAACGTCTTTACAGGATGGTCCAGAAGTTGGCTCTTGGCCCAAAGCTTCGTTCCACATGTGTGTGTCAATGCTGAGGGGGGTTAATTTTTTTGGTCCACTCTAGTTTACTCGCTGTGAATTTTTGAAGTCTCTCGTTCAAATGAATGGAGCTGCGCCGGCTGACGCATGCGCAGATGCGTATTTTCACAATTTTCTTGTGGGCGGGGACACTCGCTGCCATTTTGGATCGCTCCAGTAGAGCAGATTTTTTGGCCCATTAGTTAGAACGGCGGAGATAGGCGTGATTCTGTCCGTTAATATATACAGTCTATTACGTACGTACAGTTCAGGCACGTTCGTGGGCGTGTTTGTTTGTATTTCTCTCCTGTCAATCACCCAAGGTCGATGCCACAACGTGAATTGAACCGAGGCGTTTTTCTCACTAACTAAAGCTTGAGGGAATCAATTAAATTCTACTTTGGGCATGTGTATGAAGGCCAAATAGTACTGTGATGATGTTTTAAGCGGAGAAAAGTCAAAAAGCGTAATATGGGACCTTTACATTACAAATGGACTGATACTTAGTGGCTTGAATCTGATAAGTTCTAGTTGAGTTCTATCCTATTCAGGCTCAGAAAGGGTTTGCCAGAGCAAGACTTGTATAAACATGTACAATAGGTCTGGCATACACCTCCGGTACTGACGATCCCGCTCTCTGTGTGGAGTGGGAGACAAATGCCCACAAATGTAAAGGCGCTTTCTTACGTACTTACTCACTTCAGCAAAAGATATGCTTCATTAAGATTAAGAGATCCTTTATTTGTCCCACAGGGGGGAAAGTTATAGAACAGTAGGAATGAGGAGCACACAACACAAGATAAGTAAACAATTGCTATACTAATTAAAATATAACAAAATCTCTAACTCTAGCATCAATGACAAGTATAAAATCTTCATCTTGAAAATAATATTAAAAAGAAGTGTAAAAGTTTTATATTTGTGGCAATAAGAGGCAAATATAAAGTACTGTGTATTCTAGTGCAAGCAAAGTGTAGTTATATGTTAGAATCTCTACATTAGCATACATTACGTTAGCAGCAGTATGTTTAGTAAGTAAGTAAGTAATCTTTATTTATATACTGCCTTTTCACTGCAGATCTGAGTCTCAAAGCGGTTTACAATTGTTAATTTTGGGCATTTGTCTCTCACTCCACACAGAGATGGGAGCGGGGCCAGTACAGGAGGCGCATGCTAGAACTATTGGACATATTTTTAGTGGTAGGGGAAACCGGAGTACCCTGAGGAAACCTTCGCAGACACAGGGAGAACATGCAAACTCCACTCAGAAAGGCCCTGGTCCGACCGGGATTCGAACCCAGGACCTTCTTGCTGAGAGGCGAGAGTGCTATCCACTCAGCCACCGTGCCGCCCATGTTTACAGATGTAAACATTTACAGATGTTTACATCTGTGCATTAGCAGCAGTATGTTTACATCTGTACATTAGCAGCAGTATTTTTACATCTGTACATTAGCAGCAGTATGTTTACATCTGTACATTAGCAGCAGTATGTTTACATCTGTACATTAGCAGCAGTATGTTTACATCTGTACATTAGCAGCAGTATGTTTACATCTGTACATGTTAGCAGCAGTATTTTTACATCTGTACATTAGCAGCAGTATGTTTACATCTGTACATTAGCAGCAGTATGTTTACATCTGTACATGTTAGCAGCAGTATGTTTACATCTGTACATTAGCAGCAGTATGTTTACATCTGTACATTAGCAGCAGTATGTTTACATCTGTACATTAGCAGCAGTATGTTTACATCTGTACATTAGCAGCAGTATGTTTACATCTGTACATTAGCAGCAGTATGTTTACATCTGTACATTAGCAGCAGTATGTTTACATCTGTGCATTAGCAGCATGAGGCTCTGAGACACAGTGACTCAGTAAAGTGACAGTGACATGTGGTTATTGCACATTCTGATATTAGTTAAGGATATTGCACCAATGCTCGACACGTGGGATCAAGTTGGCAGTGTTCATTAGTCCTCATTGTTTGTTGTACAGTCTGACAGCAGCAGGAAGGAAAGACCTGCAGAACCTCTCCTTCACATAGCTATTACTATTACTATACAGCGAGGCTGAATAAGTCGAATGATAAAAATTGGAAGTGAAGGATAAGAAGATTTCCCTGACATAATGGTGATGTGGGGATATGGGTATGGTGCGGTACTAAAATCTTGGGAAATATTCAATTTTTGGTGATATTTGTGAAGATTAAAGGAGAAGGCATTTAGTTTAGGGTAAGGATTTAAGTTAAGCAGGCTGAAAGAAATACCAAGATTTTTGCTTGCATTCAACTCCGTTCAATTCATGTACATATAACATTTATAAATGTAATATTACATCGTTTTTTAAATGTAAATAGTATGTGGCAATAAACAGGTAAAGGTAGATGTGTTTTATTATATAATTAAATTGTTGTGGTTTAAAAGTTAAGCACCGCAAGGAGAGCATGGGAGATGCTTTCATTATGGCCTACATTTTTCTATTGTTTGTTTTATTTAACAACTTTAATCTATTTCTATGTTTCAGTTTTTCAGAACTAAACTTTGTAACATAAAGAGTGAGGTCATGGCAGAATCAAACCATTAGCAAGAGAGCAAAACAAATGCATTTCACCAATATCAAAAGTTGCACATTGCTCCGGGCGCATATCCAACACAAACATTCACTGTGATAAAATACAGCTCCCGACTACATTAACAAGAAAACAATTAGGCAAATGAATTGTTGCCAACATGCAAGTTATGAATAAGTCATTTGGAATCAGAGAGATGTTGTACGAGAACTGTGTCTGCAGGGCTGAAGCTGCCTTAGAGCAGTGTGTGGGATTCCTGCAATAACATTTACATTTTTTAATATCTACCTAGTGCTTGAGTCTGCTCTGAGAGTCAAAGCAGTACTGTACGGCGGGAAAAAACAATATCCCAGAAATAATCAAAGACACTTCAGAAGGATCAAGTAATCTTCCAAATGTAGAGATATTGATCAAGTCACTGGAATGCCACAAACTAAGTTCATCCATTTCTGGGTCGGGGGGGTTGCTGTCAGAGCTTCACCCATTTCACAGAACACCAGCCCCTCACTTCCTGCAGGTGGTGAGTCCACAGGGGCCTTGATCTTTCAGCGGGGGCTTCAGGCAAAGTGGTGTCAAGTGTCTTGCAATCACGTTCATCATAATCAATTGTGTATTTTGAAAACGGAATATTTATTTATACTCGCTCCACAAAGAGATGGGAGCCTGGTCGCCACACACGAGGCACATGCCAGACCTCTTTTACATCTTTTAAGTGGTAAGGGAAACTGGAGCACCCAGAGGAAACCTTCACTGACACAGGGAGAACATACAAACTCCACACAGAACGGTCTGTAGGTGGAATTAAACCCAGGAACTTCTTGCTGTGAAGCACAAGAGCTAACCGCTGTCACTGTGCTGTCCGTGTGTCACAGATTAAGAGAAAACTACATGCAATGGGGAGAGTGAAACATTGGCTTCTGTCACTCAAGAGTAAATCAATACATAATTATAAAAGTCAAAATCCTTGTCTATGCTCCCACCCTCCCCTGGCTCTGTCTCCACTTCCACCCTCACCTGTGGTCACTTTGATCATGAGCGATGAACAAGGTCGTGGATATACTGTATGTGGATACATACTGTATGTGGATACATACTGTATATGCACATGAGGGTCTACATGAGTGGACCGTTCAAGATAGAGTAAAGCCTAGCGTACATCGGACTGGCAACTGATTATATCCGTCGCCTCTGAGTTGCTGCCCCGCACACATCGACAATCTGGCGAAAACGGGCAACTCTGAGTCGCAGGCCAGTCTCTTGAATAACAGCGCGTACATCGACAGCAACTGGCCTCAACTACAGTGTGTTTTCTGACATAAACTGTTGCGGGCTCGCAATACACGCAATACACACACGCTGTCAGAGCGGCGCATGGAGCGCGCACATCGGAGCAACTGAGTACAACTAGTTGCCGAAAAGTAGAACACGGGCAACTGACTGGAACTGGAGACCGACTGATCATCTCCAGTTGTAAGAGCGCGCACATCGACCGATTTCGGCAACTGATCATCTCCCACCATCTCCTCTCAGTTGCCAAAAGCCGCCTTGCAACTAGTTGTCCCCAGTTTCTCTGTCGATGTACGCTAGGCTTAAGGAAGTGGCTCTCAGCTGGCCTGGGAACACCTCTGGATTTGATGAGATGGAGGAGAGGTGTGTGGGCGTCTGATGCCTGTGCAAAGTGGATATAAATGGATGGTTGAATGGGACACATATTCTGTCTTAAAATAGGGTAAATGTGAAGGGCAATTGGAAACTTTATAACAAAAAAAAAATATAAACTCTCATGATGACATGGTGGATCACCTTTTCTCTGTCTATGTCTATCCTTTTCCCTTCAGTTTCTAAATTCTTCCACCTCTTACAGCCATCTTCAGCTGTTTCACAGGATTGAGGCAGCCCATTACAGCAGTGGTCATTGCTGAGTTGGCAGCGATGTCATCCTTTGTGCTCGCATTGTGGTGGATAGGTTTTCCGTCAGGTGGAGCGAGCTGATGTATGCGCTCGTTATATTGTTTGATGGCCTGGATAGAGCCTGTGATTATGGCCGATGAAGCGAGGCAGTCCCGGCCCCCTACAGGCTGATAGGCTCATTACGGCACAGATCGATTGCAAAGTATGGATTGGTGCGTGCATGTAGTGCAGGGGATGATAATATGGGAATAAACAGACAGAGACAGGCCGGAGACTGGGCTTTGAGAAAGTTGGATTTAAGGTACTAATCCTTTGAATGTTTGTAAGCAATCATCAGGATAAAATGGAATAGACATGTACATTATTTCATGAGACAACAACATTTACAAATACTCGTCTCCAATTGATTTGTGCAAGAGACTAGGATAGACGAAATTCAAGTCATATCTGTAAAGGAGCGAGTTGAGCCATTCAATAATTTACGTTCCTTGCCAAACTGTTTTATAGCATATTGCTCACATGTGGGTGAAGGTTATAAACTACCCATGGAACATAAGTGAAGCTCATAAAAAGTGTGGGCTGTACGCTCTATCTTATATAAACTTCTTATAAAGACACTATGTTTTAAAACCCCCAAGGTCCAGGGTGAGCTGTGCTGTGGCTTTAGAAGACTTATTTTAAAAGTCTGTCTGTTTTGACCCGTTTATTTGTACACTATCTTGTCTTCAGAATCAGAATCCTTTTTATTGCCATGTGAGTAACAGGAAATTGCTTTGGCTCTCGGTGCAAACAATTTAAATCAGAATAAAATGACATGCATAAATAAAAATCTACATAAATGTCTTCGGTCTTGATATGGTCCAAACAATATGCATAACTTCCCCACTGTTGTCCCCACTGCAAATTTGAAACCTTTGCATGTCTGTCAAACATGAAACGCTGCATAACTTTCATTTCCATCATTTTTATTCAATTAGAAAACTATTAAGAAGTTGGATCAAAAACCTCAACATTGCTGTATTGTGTGAGCCTTTACCATACTTTCAGATGCAAGCGCTAATAACATACCCCAGCCATTCCCAAAGTCAGCAAGACCGCGGCCCCCTTAAAAATCTGACGGGTCTTCGCGGCCCCCCGAAATAATAACCAAGACGACACGTTAAAAATAGGCTCTTCTCGTCATTTTATTTGGAGGATATAACCTCTGCTACAACCGTTTTGTAAAACAAAAGTTATTACAATTAGATTATTCAAGTAAAATAATGAACATAAAATATGAACAGACCAAGTAAAATTTAATTCAGGCCCTTCCAGCGCACAATGAACCATGACATGAGCACACAAACGCTCTCAAAATCAAACAGATAAAAAAGGCCAGCACAAATGCATATTAATCAAGGAAAAATATTCGTTCAATACAATAGTTTAGCTCACCTAATGAGACGGATGGTGTTGCATAGCGGATGCTAAAGCCCCAATATTGGGTTGAATGGTGGTCAGCTTTAAGCGGAGATCAGAGGTGACATCCAGTCTGTTCCTGTACTTGGTTTTTAATGCAACTAGGGATGAAAATCCAGTCTCACAGAGATACGTGGTGGAAAATGGCATGAGGAAACGAATGGCTTTGTCAGCCAAATGTGGATATTCTTTGAAAACGCGTATCCAGAAGCGCACCAAGTGAGTCTGCGTAAATTCCAGTTTCAATGAGCTATCACAAGATAGTTCCACGAGGCTGTCCTGCTCTCTTGAAGAAAGTCCTGCTGCGTCCTGAGCCTGGATAACAAATGGGTTTTCTATCCAGTTGTTCATGTTGTCTTGTGCAGGGAAATACTTGCGAAGCTGGGTTCCGAGGGCCTGCAGGTGCGCGCTGACAGCGCTTGCCACCGACCTGGGAATCTCACTCTCTTCGCTGCCCAACAAGTCCGACAAGCTGTCCAGGGACTCAAAGTTATTTTGTCCAACTCTGCGATCCCACATCTCAAACTTTTTAATTGTGGCATCAATCTTATTCTGCACTTGAAACACAGTCACTGTTTTCCCCTGTAGTGACAGGTTGAGTCCATTTAAGTATCCAAAAATGTCAGCCAAATAAGCCAACTTGCAGAGCCATTCAAAGTCGCAGAATCGCTCGGCCAACTCAAAACGAACGTCCACAAAGAAGACTCTGACTTCATCGCGCAGTTCGTAAAGGCGCGTGAGCACTTTGCCGCGTGAGAGCCACCGGACCTCTGTGTGAAGGAGAAGCTGTCTGTGTTCGCTCCCCATCTCCGCGCACAGGATCCCAAACAAGCGGGACTGCAGGGGACGACTTTTGATGAAATTGACAGTTTTTACAGCTTCATTCAACACCTTATTTAAGTCTGCAGACATCGTCTTTGTGGCCAGAGCCTCACGGTGGATGCTGCAGTGGACAGCTGTCAGCAGTGGGGCCACATCCTTCACTCGTTTGACTACTCCGGTTAGTCGTCCCACCATGGCTCTGGCTCCGTCTGTGCTTAGTCCCACACACTTTGCCCAGTCGATTTCATTTGAAACCATAAAATCATTGATCGCTTCAAATACGGCCTCTCCAGTCGTGTTTGATGGTAAGGGTTTGCAAAACAAAAAATCTTCATGTATGTCCCCATCATGTTCGTACCTTACAAAAGCAAGCAAATTGGCCAAGGCTGCTATATCCGTGGACTCGTCGATTTGTATTGCATAAAAACGGCTTTCTTTGATTCTGGTGACAAGCTGATTTAACACGTCTTCAGCCATGTCATCGATGCGGCGCTTCACTGTATTATCAGACAATGATATCACGTTTAGTTTGTTTGCTGCATTTTCACCAATCACCATGTTCACCATTTCTTTAGCAGCAGGTAGAATGAGGTCCTCTCCTATTGTGTGCGGTTTGCCAGTTTGCGCAATTAACTTTGACACTCTGTATGAGGCCTCCACGGCCCTGGCATACTCTCCCCCGGTCACACACGTTGATTCAATAGCCTTCTTGCGTTGCGTATATTCTCGTAATTTGTTTTCAAAAAACTCCCTTGGCTTTGATAAAAACTGTCCATGCTTGGTCTCCAAATGACGACGAAGTTTACAAGGTTTCAGGGCCTCATTGGCGAGGACCTCTGAGCAGATGACACAGACGGGCCGTGGGTTGTCCTCGTGTCCCATAGTGGTAAAACCGAGTGCCAAATACTCACTCAAATATTTACGTCGTTTCCTTGATTTGTAATTTGAGTGTTGATTTCCATCTCGATCTTGATCCTGACTTACATCAGAAGCAGCAGGCTGAGTTTTATTCAGTAGCCACCGATCCATAACATCCATTTCCCGCTGCAAACCTCTTCCACACATATTATCCCCCCCTCCAATAAAAAAATAGATATAGAACGTTCCGGCCTACGAGAGTAATGTTTAATGATTGTAGCATAGCAAAATCATTAAACATCGGACACAAATATTTTAATATTACAAACAATATATAATTAATTTAACATACAATAATGAAGACACTTTTTTTTTTACTGACCTCTCGCGGCCCCCCTGCAATACCCTCGCGGCCCCCCAGGGGGCCGCGGACCCCACTTTGGGAGACACTGACATACCCTAATTACACACACTGCTTCACTCCTCTCCACCAGTCTGGCTGTTGCACACTGACATCTTCACACATCCCATCTCCAAATTACCCCTAAAAAATGATTGATTTGGGAGAACTGGAGAGATCCAATTGCATAACAACACTGGGACGCGGTTGGTAATAGCAGCAGATGTTGACCGGCTTGCGTGCGTATTGTCTCATTAGCAGAACTGCGAGACATGGGCGTTGCAAAAAAGACCAAACAGGCTTAGGTCCACTCTCCCGTAAAACTTGCCAATCCACTCGAGTTAGACGCTAATAGCATGCCGTGTGTTGCCAAATGAGCTCCGGCAGAGGAGGGTTGGAGAGGACCGGGCAGGCTTCACTGGGCAAATAAGTGGTGTGCCCGGGCCCGGAGCTAGCATACATTCACCGAATTACTGGCTATTGAATAAATAAACAGCGGCTAGCAGCGTCAACAGGAGAGCCGGGCCTGCAGGTGGTCTATTTCTCTGTTTAAATTGATGGAAAACAAGGCATTTAGTCACACTGGAGGTGAGACAAATGCGGAATGAGTTGGTGTTTTGAGTCTATTATTAACTGTGGTGTAATATTGATATCACTGTGTGAAAAAAAAAGCAGATTTGTACGTGTGTTGAAAAAAGTAAGAAAAAAAAGAGCGAGAAAGGTGAAAAAGAGTGGACCACCCTCAGTATGTTCTCACTATTGTGACTTTTTCCAGTTGGGTTGAAATGTAATATTAATGAAACAATGGCTCTACATCTACCCTCTTTAAATGGGACATAATAAGAAAACATTTTTACAGCTGTCAAAGCATGTTAAGGCTGTATTGCCAGATTTTTTGGGAAAACAAATGGTCTGGTAAATCATGATAAAAATGATAGTTGTTACTGGAGTGAATCATTCAGGTTAATTTGTAGCCATTTAATTCTTTCTTATTCTCTCGTCAGAGCTTTGATGTGACAAAGTTTCACTGACGCCGTTTACCTCAGTGTGATCCGGTTGGACATAAATGCCTCTACTCGTTTCTTTTAGAACATTGTTTGAGCTCACTTTTGAGACTTCAAATATATAACAATGAGCCTTGGGTGTGAAAGAAGCTTGTTATGTACTCTTCAATATTGATTCCAATAATAGACTGATCATACAAATATATTGAGACAAGCGAGTGCTTCTATAACATATTCAACGACACTGTTAAAGTTCATTCCAGGCCATATTGATTTTGTAAGTTTCATTAATACTGTCCCCTCTAGTCTGTCTTCTATAGCATAATTCCATCAATCCAACTATAAGATCCTCAAATTACTTTACATCTTTTTACTTTTGATTTTGCACTTTGTGGCCTTTTTGACTTCTGAGCAAAACCTTGAGACGCCGGAACCTTGGTGTCGGTACTTAGCCAAAGCAGGGAGCGCAAAGGGGAAATTATGCACGGGCGGCGTCACACATCGATTCAGCCTTGAATAGAGCTCATTTTGCGAGGAGCTTCGGACGGACATCCGCTGGTTAGCATTCAGAGCTGGACTGGGCCCAGAGGAGGGCAGGGATATGGATTTAATTGTGCAATGGGTCATCACCTTTGTGTAGATACATGGACTTAAAATTATTGTACCACATACTATGGATTGTGCGCCATAAGTAAAGAGCTCCAGAGTCACTGGTCTGCTGGTTTGTAACGACTTCGGGTTTCTCTTACTCGTTACTTCGGGCTGACTTTCTATAAACTCCCTCCTTCATCGCAAACTAAAGATGTAGTAGGTAATAATATATGAAAAAATAAATTCAAATGAACTTGAGAAATAAATAAACAAATGCGGACATCTGGAATGCCTTTGCCTCACATAAGCTGAACATGAACAGAGTCAATGTTACAGACAGTTGTTAACTCTGTTGCCCGCCCGAATTCATCTCAAGCTGCTTTTTGACCATGAGCCCGGGAAGCAGGGCAAGGTAAGATAGGCGATCGGCTAATGTACCGTCATTAGCCGATCTTGTGCCTGTCTGTAATGAATGAATAATGAAGGGGAAGGGACTGCTTCAAAACCTCTAAGCGGTATATAGAAGTGTAAAGGAATTAAAAAGGAGACAAATAACTAAAACTCAAAAATATCCTTAAATAAGCTGGAATGATTTTTGAAATGTAAACAGAAGAAGTATTTTTAAATCCATCAATTCATTCTTGTTTGCCAGAGAACCTTTAGAACATCAACTCCATCCAATCCATAACATCAGCTCAATGTTCAGAAGTCCACATTTAAACAACAAGTAATACACAAAAATAACCACTGACAAACTTTAACCTGGAAAACCTGGTCCCCCCCTTTCGCTTCTTTAAAAGTCATAAAGGTTGAGAATTATATAATAACTTCTACAAATGTCTTGCTAACCCCCTTTTTTACTGTATTATAGCCACTTAAATTGGCCATGAAAACCCAATATTAGTCATCTTCTGCAGATTACGTTCTATGATGTTTCTTTTATGATATTTCTGTTCTGGTGATATATGGTTGGGTAAGATACCTAAATCTTTTAACAGAAATGGTAGGATTAGTTATCTTGTTAGATCTCTTTCTCCTTTAAATACATGTATCTACTGCACGGAAGCAAAGGTGTATTCATTGCCATCCACAACCCACGCTGCTTTGGACCAAAATATTGACTTGACCGTCGTGGTGCCTTCTCAGAAAGCACAAAACTCCATTTACTTCTATTCTAGCTGCGTTCGGTTGTTCTGACCCTTATCGAACACAACACACTTAGGTCTTTATATCACATACAGACACAGAGATCTTAATAGCTTAAAACCTACACCCGACAACCTGCACTTTTGAAACCCAAGCTTGTCTGGCCCGGTTGCTTGGTAACTGGTCAAAACACAGACAACATTGGTGAAAATAGATACATATTGAATGCAAAGACTCAATTAGGTGTGATTGACCCAGATGAACTGCTGTTGGCTTAGACCAGATTTGTTCACAACACTTCATAACCAAGCCATAATAACAGAAGACACGTTTGCTAAATAGTCCACTTAACTGTATGTGTTTTCTCACATTTAGGTATCGAGAACAGAGGAACCATCCTAGCCACTTTAGGTGCATCCACAAGAAAGTGGCTCGGAATTAAACAGCAATACCATTTAAGGCCTTCTTTAAACATACAAGGCTAATGTTATGTCTCCCTCCTGCCTCCAAGACACGTTCGTATCGCATCAACCAAACCAAGCACTGGGCTTGAACAAACGACAGACTTTTGTTGGTTTTAAAAGTGTAAGAAAGTCAGTTGGAGACTGACTTTGGAAAATGGTTAGGTATGTAAGACTCAGATAAGACTTAACAAATACAACCTTTAGTCTAAATACACAGATTGTCAGTCAAACTGCATATGGAGACACACACAGGGAAAAGCATGGACACTTGAGCACTATCATTTCTTCTTCCTACTTTATTATGACTTCTGTTGTAGTCTGTTCATTGCTCTTCATCCATAGTATTGTCTGTTTCATGGTGTGATGATGGGATTCCTGAACTCTGCCTCCTCCCTCAGCACCTGTGGACCGTCTTCCCCGCCTCAGTCCTGCATCGCGTGGTGTTGGGAGCGTATCCCTTCCTCAATGTGGGCCTCCCAGAGACTTCTTACTTTTTTTACTGATAAGGACAGTGGTGATAATCCAGGACATTCTACAATCAATGTAATTTATGGACATTTATCCACATTTACGGACAATGTATTATATTAAATATTTGTATGTAGTTGACATACAAACTCCAGCCTATGCTGGTATGGAGAGTAATTTCAGATGCAGTATATTCTCACATAAATTCATAAAAATCCAATAAATTGCTCCTTTCCGACCTGAACTTTTCGCTCAAACATCAGC